AAAAAAATTAATTAAAGCCAGATGGCATGACTTGGACATATAAAGAATTGTTACCATTTTTCAAGCTTTTTAATTGATTTTCTATATGAATTATTACTATATATATAATTTATAAAATTTAGAGAAAATTTTGCTTTGTCATTTATTAAATAAAAAGAACCGAAAATGCATGCAATAATTCATATTTCATTACTAATGATTTATACTTAAATTTATTTTGAAATAGGAGCAAGTACAAGATATCCAACACTGGCGCCATAGCTGTCTTGATGGTTTTCATGTCCGTTTCATTCTTTCTTCTCCTCAGCTCTCGCAATGCCTGCCTCTTCGTGAGCACAGCCATCATCGGCCTCGGCTCCGGCGCCATATCCTCCATTGCTGTCTCAGTTTCCTCCGAGCTCTTCGGCCAAGAAAACTTCAGCGTGAACCATAACATTGTTATTTCAAATATTCCAATTGGTTCTTTCCTGTTTGGCTCCATTGCTGCTCTCATCTACGATAAGGGAGGGGTTGAGGGAGGTAGAGGAGATAGATTGTGCTTTGGAATGGAGTGTTATAGCAAAACATTTATCATTTGGGGGTGTATTTGTTCTTTTGGGACGATACTAAGTTTTGTTTTGTATTCTCGAACAAGAAATAGCTTTGTAAGTCGCCGTAGATAGTTAATTTCTGTAATTCGTCGTTTAACCATTTTTTTTTTTGTTATACCGGTAAGAGTTTGGCTTACATCCACACATTCTGATATTAATTAATATTAGATGTAGTAATTACTTCGTAAAACTATGAGGCAATGATGCATAAATATAAATATGGGGACATAGATATATGGGCGGATCCCCACTCATGCAAGGGGCGAATTATTACGTCCGGTCACCACCGGACGTTCGGATATCCAATTCAGACGTGCCACGTCACCCAAATACATTGGACCCGGTGTATTTGGGTGATGTGACGTATCTGGATTGGTGTCGGGACGAATATGGAAATCGGACGTAATAATTTGCCCATGTGAGAGCGGGCATTTGCCCTAATATGCCCCCAAAAAAAATTGTATAAGAGGGGTAATTTTGAAATTATGCTCCCCACCCCACGAAATTTTTTTTTTGCCCTATCATATATGACCATCTAGCATTGTTTGCCCATCTATACGAAGTTCTGAATATTTCATCTTCGCAAATAAACGATAAAAATTTCCTCTTATAAAATTGATAGCATTAAGTTGGTTAATTTTTTTAATTATTTTATTATTATTACTATTTCATGTTATTATTATTATTTTATTATTATTTTCATCTAATTAATGGAGATTGGTTTAATTTGATGGACATTGCATTCTCTGATGAGGAAAAAAATGAGAAACATGCAATAATGTATTTTTCCTCTTTTCCACATATATATTTTTAAATTTGTACGCAGGAGGTGTATAAGAAGAAATTTTTTGAAATGTTGTATGTTCCTTATACACAACCTGTGTATTATATATAAAACGTTTAGATACACAGTGCTCAAGAATTTTTGTGGTGTGTTTCCTTTTTTCAATATTTTTTTTTGTTGTACACGAAGTGTGTATAGTAGAATTTTTGTTTGGAATTTCGTATGCTCCTTATACACACATTATGTATTGCATGTTAAACATTTAGATACGCTGTGTTCAATAATTTTTTTTTATGTTATCCACTTTTCAATGCTTTATGCATGTACACAGGGTGTGTATAAAAATATATTTTTTGGAATGTGGTATGCTTCTTATACACATCTTGTGTATTGCATGTTAACTGCATACATACGCTATGCTTAAGGATTTATATGATGTTTTTCCTCTTTTCAATATTTGCTGATCATGAAAAGCCACTAATATGATTTAATATCATGCCACTATATGGCTCAGATGTCAAGTCTTTCTTTTTCAAACTTGTGAACATGCGGCCTGCATATATATCTTTCCCATAGGTGCATTGAATATTACCCTCTTTTGCATCAAAATGAACAATCCATCGGATCGACTAGTTCTTATTCTCTTTAAAACAGGAAAGCATTGAGCACATTGTATGATTGTATCTCCCTTAACAAATATTGAAAATGTGAAAAAAAACACCATAGAAACCCTTGAGCACATTTTATCTACACATTTAATATGCAATACATTGGATGTGTATAAGGAGCATATGACATTCTAAAAAAAAGTTTCCTCATACATACCCTATGTCCAATAGAAAAAAAATATTAAAAATAGGAAACACACCATAGAAATCCTTGAGCACATTGTATCTAAATGTTTCACAAGCAATACACAGACTGTGTGTAAGGAACATATCAAAAATCAAATGAATTTTCTTTATACACACGGCGTGTATAAATGTAAAAAGCATTGATAAGAGAAAACACGGCACAAAAACTCTTAAGCACAGTGTATCTAAATGTTTCACATTCAATACACAGGGTGTGTATAAGGAATAGAAAACATTTGAAAAACACTTCCTTTATACACATCCTATGTAGAAATTAAAAAAAAAAATTTTGAAAGGAGAAAAAAATACCTAATTAGTATGCCACAACATTTGTACAATTCCTAAACTTTCAAAATTATCAATTTATATAAAGTTTTACATAGTTGTCGTACAAAAGCATGCCTCTTCGCGACATCTGACATATAAATAATTGAATAATACACTCACCATTTCCAACCGAATGGTATTCGCCAGTTTGCAATAGCTGCGAGCGTCCAACCGAACGGCAAATTGAACGTTATTTTTGCAATTTGAATAATGTGATGTTAATATTTGCATCGCACTGAAAAAAAATGCATTTCTATTTGAAGTTCGAGAGATGGCTTGCGGCAATTGCAAACAGCTAGACTACCAGTGAATACCGTTATGTTCGTTTGGAGATGCCCATAAACTCTAAAAAAAAAAAAAAAGACAAACCCCAAACAGAGCATGTGAACGGGACAGCTATGACTTTTTTAAAAAATTTCACCTTTGGACACCATTGGGTCATTGGGCTGGTAAGAAAATTAAATTATATATATACAATTATTTTTATTTAATTGAAATTCGGATGCAGGGCCATATTTGAAATTCGCACAAAATAATTTTTTCCAGCGAAAGTGCCTCTGTCAACGGGCAAATTATTGATCGGGTCACCGGACGGGGAGATAAGTTCGGATATTAATAAAATATTATTTTAAATTAAGCGTGTCAAAAGCGTACGAAAAGCGCAGGTAAAGCACAGGCAAAGCGTAGTCAAAGTGCAAGTCAAAAGCGCAAGTAAAGCGCAGTCAAAAGCGTAGTCAAAAGTGTAGGTGACGTGGTAAGTTTTTAAGGGAAATGTCCGAACCTATTCTCCGCGTCCGGTGACCGGATGCAATAATTTGCCCTGTCAACGTCGCTGTGTTGACTGTAAGATTTCTTCACACTTTTCCATATTTGCTATGTTTTAAGATATCAAAGTTCAGAAGTCTAGTTCTTATGTATTTATCACTTCCACAATCTAACAACATTAACTGGGGAATACGGAAAATGCTATCTGTTATACATTGAATGAAACAATGTTGATAATGAACTTCACATTTAGGAAGGTGAAAATATCATGAAGGAATATTTTTTGTTATATATATTCATGAAGGATTGGTAAAACAAATTTAAATTAGTAACGGAAACCAAAATGCTAAGTAAAATTGAAAAATTCTTTCACTTGGTTCAACCAGCAGGTTGACAATCCAATACATATCAAGTTGGATAGGCATTGGTTAATCATGCCTGGATTACTGCTTTTCCTTCTTCTTACTGCTCCATCCAAAGCCCGTCCACCTCTGATCATTGCCCCATTGTTTTACACTCAGGTGCTGCTCTCAACTCATCTCACAGATTTCTTTTCAAAAATTTTTGGACCAATTTTGATAGGTACTGGACTCTTGTGCTGGAAGTTTTTTCTTCCCCGTTATCTGGGAATCCTCTTTCTCCCTGTGCAATTCTCTCGAAAAGCTTAATGCTAACATCAAACGGGAAACTTGGTCTAATTCATATCTCATCAATAATCATCTGGATGAATTACTCAATCTTCAATCTATCTGTTTGGAAAAGGTGCAAGCAAATCCCACTGATCTTCTTCTTAACTCATCCCACAAAGATATCAATCACAGAATTTCTGCTCTCTCTTCTATGAGAGCTTCTTGGTTGATCCAAAGGGCCAAAGTGAAATGGCTTAAACAAGGTGAGGAAGATCTTAAATTCCTATTTGCTAAAATCAAAAGCAGGCAAGGGAGCAACAAGCTGGCAGTGAATTTATTTGCTGCTTGTCCTGGTAGAGGCAATAGGGAAGCGATCAATTGTATCATTCAACACTTCAATGGGTTCTACAATCCACCCCCTCCATCTAATCTGGATGTGAATTTATTCCCCACTGGCAACACTCTCCCGGATTTCTACTGTGATGTCTTATCATCTAATGTTACAGATAGGGAAATAAAAAACTCTATTTTTTGGGGTCTTCCAACTCCTTCCCTGATCCTGATGGTTTTAATTACCACTTTTATAAATCGAGTTGGCATCTCATTGGACCTTTAGTTTGCAAAGCTGTTCGATCTTTTTTTGGTAAAGGTTACATCCCGGGTGGTGTTAAGGCAACGGAGCACAACATATCTATTAGGATTTATTCCATATTTTATTAGATTGATTCTTGTTTTGTTTTCTTTAGTTTCTTTTGTAGTGTGTGGCATATTCTATAGCCACATTATTTCTTTACATAAGCCCTTAGGCATGTATTAGAGGACAAGCCATTAAAGAAAGCAATTCTCTGTTCTGCTTTTACATTTCATAGTTTTTCCTTTCAGCAATAAGCCGTAAAAAGCTTCTGTCAAAAGCTCTGGTAAGCAAGCTTTTCTCAGATTTCACATTTTGGTATCAGAGCCACCTTCCATTTCTTGCATTGGGTTCCGATCTACTTTTTCCCCAACTCCATTTTTTTCTTCTTCTTCATTCGCACGGCACTCCTCACCGGAGAACCACATGGACGGAAGGAGTTCTTGGAGCCAAGAAGATCATATCTGGTGAAGCAAGAAGCTCTGGAAGTGCAACAGTTTGTGTAGAGGTGAGATAGCCGGAGGCTGGAGGTTGGCGAGATCAGGACATGCGCAAAGGTAATCGTGCTGGGCTGTGTGGGTCGGAGGAGCTCACGGACAGCAAGTGCACGGGAGGTTGCACACGGAGGCCGGCCGGAGACGGGCTGGCGGCGAGCGTGGTGCGAGAAGGCGGCGTGAGGCGTGCGAAGGCGCTGGTGGCTGGGCGCGGAGACCGCACGGGAGAAGGCTGCTCGGGGGAGTTCGCCGGAGGAGCTGTGGCTGATTTAACGATTTTTTTTTAACCGTTAAGCCGCACAGCAACTAGCCGAAGGGTTCTGCATGTGTTGAGGAGCAAAGCACAAAGAATTTTCTTTTAAGATCTTGATTTCTTCGTCATGTCGATGCAAAGGCTGGAGATCGATAAGTTCAAGGGAGAGAATAATTTCAGTCTGTGGAGGATCAAGATGAAGGCGCTTTTAGTTCATCAAGGCCTCTCCGATGCATTCTTTGAAGAGAATTTCGCTGCAATCACCGATAGAGCCAAGGCGAGAGAAATCCAATTGAAAGCGCACAGTATCATCCTTCTCTATCGGTGACGAAGTTTTAAGAGAGGTTGCTGAAGAAGACACGTCATTGAAGGTATGGAGGAAGCTAGAATCAATTTATATGAAAAAATCTCTTACAAATCGATTGTTGTTGAAGAAACAACTGTATACGCTCCAAATGGAAGAAAACCAAGAACTTAGAAAGCATTTGGACGATTTCAATAAATTGATTCTTGACCTCAGGAATGTGGATGTGAAAATTGATGAAGAAGATCAAGGGATCATACTCCTTAGCTCTCTATCGAAGACGTATGAAAACATAGTTGACACTATGTTGTATGGGAAGCAAACTTTCACATTAACGGAGGTTAAGTCCGTTTTAATGTCAAAAGATGTTCAAAGGAAAATTGATCAAAAGGAAGACAAAAATGGCAACATTCTGATCGATAGAGGAATATCAGAATCACGTAGGATCAATGCCAACAGAAAGTGCTATCATTGTAATAAAGAAGGGCATATTAAGAGGTTTTGTCCAAATTTGTCTCAAGGGGTTGAACCAGAAATTAGCTTGGCCATAGCCGCAGATTTGGGAGACGGTTGGACATATTCTGATGTTTTGTAAAATCTGGATTAGGGGGTTGATTGTTAGGATTTATTCCAAATTTTATTAGATTGATTTTTGTTTTATTTTTTTTAGTTTCTTTTGTAGTGTGTGGCCTATTCTATAGCCACATTATTTCTTTAAATAAGCCCTTAGGCATGTATTAGAGGACAAGCCATTAAAGAAAGAAATTATCTGTTCTGCTTTTACATTTCATAGTTTTTCCTTTCAGCAAGAAGCCGTAAAAAGCTTCTGTCAAAAGCTCTGGTAAGCAAGCTTTTCTCAGATTTCACAGTATCTAATTGTTTCACAAGCAATACATGTCAAATGAATTTTCTTTATACACACCGCGTGTATAAATGCAAAAAGTATTGATAAGAGAAAACACGGCACAGAAACCCTTGAGCGCAGTGTATTTAAATGTTTCACATTCAATACACAGGGTGTGTATAAGGAATATAAAACATTTAAAAAACATTTCTTTTATACACATCCTATGTACAAATTTAAAAAAAAAAATCTGTAAGAAGGAAAAATACCTAATTAGTATGCCACAACATTTGTACAATTCCTAAACCTTCAAAAATTATCAATGTATATAAAGTTTTACATAGTTGTTGTACAAAAGTCTAGTTCTTATGTATTTATCACTCCCACAATCTAACAACATTAACTGGGGAATACGGAAAATGATCTGTTATACATTGAATGAAACAATCTTGATAATGAACTTCACATTTGGGAAGGTGAAAATATCATGAAGGAGTATTTTTTGTTATATATATTCATGGATTGATAAAACAAATTTAAATTAGTAACGGAAACCAAAATGCTCAGTAAAACTTAAAAATTCTCTTTTTTTAACCTATCATATTCAACCACTAAATTAGATTGAAAGAATTCCATCAGTATTAATTAAAAAATAAATGATGTATTTTGCCTTTGTCACGTAACAAGATTTATCATACAATAATACCAACAATAAGTCTTTATCCCACATACTATATGAATCTTTTTTTCTATTGTATCTTATTAATAGTTAAATTCATCGTAAAATCTAATAAAAATAGTTTTTTTTAGTCTTTTTAGGTCTAGCTCTATCTTTTTTAATATAGGTCATATCTAATACACCTACGCTTCTAATAGAGTCATCGGAAGGCGCGGCTACGCCATCAAGACAACTCTTTCTAATCTTATATACTACGTACTAGAGCAAAATTTGTTATACCTAAAATTAAAATTCCTTCTCTTTTAGTTACTTTTATGTAAACCAAATGATCTTTAACTGAAGTGGTAAAGCCTCAAAAATAGCTTTAGAACAAAATCTATAAACATCTTAATTAATATCTTGGGCATTCAACTTAGATCACCCTTGTTGAGCTCTTATTTGGCATTGGTTACTCACTTGGCCTTCCTGCATTTCTTGTAGGATATTCCACATCCTGGAATGATAATATGTAATGATAGGTCGAGCTGCACACTGTCAGGTCAATTCATCATCAACAACTTTAGAATTTAATTATGTTGATCATATTTTATTTATAATTATTTTTTAAAAATATATGTGATCAGGTCGATGCCGATTTATCGAGAGTTTTACATGAATTTGTGTTTTAGAGTTTTAATAAACACAACAATCTCTCACATTAAACTTTAGATCAGGGTCTCGTCTAGTGAAACAGATTACATTGATGCGTCTGACTTGTTGAGATGGATCTTTTGAGCTTGTTTGCACACAAATCGGACACACTTAGGTGTGTCGGGAAGAGAAAGTATGCTGAAATTTTATTGAGAGAGATGGGGGGGGGGGGGAAAAAAATAAAAAT